GAGCTTCGGTAAAGTAATATTAGTCAGTCACGAACAGCGGTCTTACGCATGAATGTTGACGGATTCGGGGGTTGAATCCGGCTATCTGATTGGCTGACACGCTCATTTCCATGGTTACGGCCATTTGCGACGGATCTGTGGGGAGCCCTGACGGATTTGCAGATTCAGGGGCTCTGTATGAGCCTTCTGATTGAACCATTTAAAAAATTTCTGCACTGTCATTGGCTTATTTTTTTCGACGGATTCGCAGCGTGGGGTATTCGTCAACACAGCATTCGGTGTTTATGAGTGTTTACTATTTCCAACGTCTGGCATGTGCGAAATTTTACTATTTTTACGAGCGATCTCTACCAGCGATATCTGGAAACATTTTCGACAATGTTCAGTTCGCGATTGCGGCAAACCGTTTGGAATCTCTACAACGCTTGTATACGGAACTTGAGAAGGATATCGATGCTTCACGGACGATTTCTGTTGACGAGCTACTGAGCGGCGAAGTGAGCGCCATCAACAACACAAGCAGAAGCCTCGCTAGAAATTTTGGCGCAGAGAGCTACATTCCGAAGTATGTTCGAGATAAGAAAGACAAAGCTTGCACTGCAATAAGGTAGAGAAATTTATGGTTTTATGGTGATGTATCTTTAGTTTATATTAAACCGGAGTACCATCGGTGTTGTTAATGATTGTTTGACATATGATATTTTAATATTCGCTATGCTGTATTAGCATAATTCTTGCGTCAAGAAGCTAAAATATGTTATATTCAGTGTCCACAATGTAAGCATTTGTTGATTCTCATGTTTATAGTGAAGTTTTATTTAAGATTTCTTTATATTTATGCATCGATCACACAACATGTCAGCCTTATAGAATATTGTTTGTCCATAGCCTATCGACATGGCTTGTAGACGACCGCATTGGTCTGGTGTAACATGATGATGTGAAATATTTAACAAGCTAGCTTGAAAAGCTCATTGACTGGTAGCCATTCTGATGTTACTAGTTTATTAATATTTGACATAACATCTTTATATCTTGTTAATGTAATAGTGTTTGACTTAGTTAATGAATATCTGGTTGTTTTTTTGGATTTGAGGCTACTGGCAATTATTTGTATACAGTAGTTCTGTGTTTTTGGTAACAGAACAGTATATTTCCTTAATGCATTTGCTGCCATATGATTTTACAAGTTTTACAATGATACACTTATAGGTATATAGTACCAATATGACGACGTTTCATTAATCCACAGGAAAACATGTTAAATTGCTGCTGAGTTTTAACGTATTATATAATTGTAACATATCCATAAAATTTTGTAAGTAATATATGAACAACGAGAGCGAGTGTTTCACCGGGATATCCAAACACGAGAAAACAATGTATGAAAACACGAGCGCGAAGGGCGAGTGTTTTCATACATTGTTTTCGAGTGTTTGGATATCCCGGTGAGACACGAGCCAGGGGTGCACATAAGGGGGGGGGGGGTGACACCCCCCAGCTTTTCAAAATCGGTCGAAAGTCGGTCCTGAAAAATGCATATTAGATAACCAGTTCGGTCCCAGGTTCGGTCCCCGAACATCCGATATACTAGATAGATATATTTATATAATTAAAATAAAATAAAGTTTTTCATCGTTTTTTATCATATTTATATATAAATATAACTGCATTGGTAAATAAAATAGCGAGTTTCAAAGGCAAACAGCGTATTTTGATTTTTGAAATTTGATCGGCATTTTCTGGGTGCAAAGTGCTTTGAGAGACAGACTTGACATTATCTTTTAACAACGTCTCATATGTCTGGCCCGGCGGCTGGCACATCAAACACGCAGTCGTTAAATTAAGAAAATACTGGTCTTATTGGATTGTAAAATCAAGAAAATACTGGATAGTTGGCACTAAGGTCTAAGAAGACTAGTAAGGACTGAGAAAGCGTCAACGGTTCTGAAATTCATTCTAGGTATGTTCCGTATAATTGGCCATATTATAATTTTGGAATAGGTCATAGGACCTCTACATGCGTCTCGAACCTCTCGTTTGTGGCTTACTTTATAGGCCCTCTTTACACGAGCCCGGGATGATTTTCAACCCCGGTCAGCACCCCACAGGTGGTTATTTTTTATTCGGTTTACATGAACCCGGGTTGACGAAAATTTTTGCCGACCCGGGTCAGCAATTTTCAACCCGGACTGGCTCGGGTAATATTCCGAGCAACAGACTGGAGCAAAGTGTATTTTTGGGGCTTATATTTCTTATATACGATTGTCGCTTGTGATTTTAATAGTGTTGTGTAATTTCCTGTACCTCTATTTACTCAACGGTTTTCTTATATCCTCACAGGGTCTGGAAAGTAAACCATGCCGTGATACAAATATGTGAACTCACCCACATTGAGCGGGTTCGATACCCGCATTTTGGAATCAACACCCGCGTAAAAAATGACACTTAATTAATTCACCCGCATTCATTGAAATTCACTCGCATAATCCTAGCCTGCGAACAGGCCCTGGGTTGCGGGCGGCGCGAAGAATAGAGGGCCTGCACGGAACTATAGGTTTTCTTGGTAGTGGCGTTCGTATAGAAACGCAGGCTTCTGATTGGCTTACACTCGCTGACAAAATTACTAAAAATAGCAAATGTCAACAACAGCATTTTGAAGAATTTGAACTTTATTCATTTTAATATTATATATTATAAGACTATCGAACAAATAACACTAGAAATGGAAACCAAAAGCAATAGCAAAGCATCACAGCAAAAAAGTATATCATAAATTACTTGAATCTATCGCTTAAATTCAATACTATAACAGTATTCTGAACTTCGTCTTCGGATTGACATCAGAATAATAGTACTACATTTTGAGGTCGTCGTGGCTTCATGGATTATTCTCATTAGTGAGCAAGTCAGCAAGCGAAGGCATACAAAAGATACCCAAATATGTACGAATAATTATATTGTTGATCCTCGCTGGCATGTCATTTAGATAAATATATATCGTACATTAAACGTTATACTATTAACTGTATAAACTGCTGACAATTTCGTCGTCGATACGGCTTCCACTATTGGCACACTCGTGATTTCGAAAAAAATTAATAAATACATGCTCATTTATCATTTATTTAGACCACAGTTAGTAAAATTTTAGACGTATTTGGTATTCCAAACCCCAATCTATCTGACCGTATTTTAAGTAATAGCTTCAAATATTCAGAACATTGTTCTTTCAGTCGCACATAGTTCAAGTATTACTGTACATTCAATGCCAATGGTAGTATTTTATTCGGCTTTATATTTGTATGTGTATTGATATCTATTTAATATTTGAAGAATTCTATATTTTTCCAAGTAATATATTGTGCGGCCCGCTAATGCTTTGTATTATTGTTCACATAACATGTATACATTTTAATATTCAGTATTTCTTCGTTGTACAATAATGTACACGCCTTGCGTCAATTTGACAGTTGACAGTTTATTTATCGCAGTCGACGCCAGTGAACTGTAAATAACCTGGAACGATAACTCAAGTAAACATGCCCATACTTGCCCGAAGCCAAGATGGCGGCCAGTAATGCGTGTTTTTTGCGTGGCTATGTCACGAAGTGTCGGTCGGCAGAGAACGCATGGTAATGGCGCGATTTGATTTTATATTGAAAGACCGACAAATTTGGGGTTTTTTATTTCAATTATATAAGATATTTGCATTCTTTTGACAGCAATTATAATACGAAATATATTTCTTGGTAATAAGATACAATCAATCGTGTATTAAAGTTATTTTACAAGGATATCAAGCGGCATCGTTTAAATATTGGTGACTTCAATAAAAAAAGTCGAACGTTCCAACAGCGACGAATTGCTTCTGTTTCAATTATATTTGTGGACTCCAGTCGACGAATAATTGATTACAAGATAAGTATTGAATTATTTTTACTTTTTCATGATAACTATTGGTTTTTAAACAAGATCAACTTGTTTAAACGAGGCCTGTCATGTACTGGGTATTCCATTCTCAATTCTGCACAACAGACTCGCTGCAGTGCTTGCCGTACTGTAAAGTGTAAAACAGTAAAGGAATCGCTCGTGACTCATGAAGAAAACGTGATAGAATTAGTTTATAAAAAGTAAATATCTGCTTTTAATAAAACTAACTAGTTAAGTAAGTGGTACATCTTAATTATAGTATTTTCTCACGATTTCAATGACATAATTTTCGACCAGATGACAAAACTTTCACACATATTTATGACTATTTTATATCACACCGATTTTATGATGAACTCTTCTTGCAGTCTGTCAATAAATTGTGCCATGTTCCCTATCTTCTTACATCTTTGCAATTGCTGCTGTAAGTTTTTAATTTTATGTTTTAATTGTTTTTTAGAAATTTCTTGATCTTGAAGTGAATTATTGATTGCCTGCAGTGGTGTCTGTTGTATTAGTTTTTGCCGTTTTCCATAGCAGTGATTATGATATTACACAATAGGAAGGTATAGCAGAAGTGTATCTTGAGTTGGTGCCTTTGATGTTTTTGTCCACTGAAATTTTAACTTGCTCACACCAATCCACGCCATCCTGGCTAAAACAGCCGGTAAAGTACAAAGTACCAGTTGTACTTGCCAGGATGGCAAATGATGGCGTAATATTGGTGTCAGCTGTGTTGTCAGGCTTATCGCTCATGTGCATTGAAAAACACGGACAGATTTTTGCTTGAGTTACACTTCTGCTATTAATACCTTCCTGTATTATGTGATGATATTGTTGTTGACAATAGCAGGGTTGGTAAGTTAGATGAATAATTAGGCCAAATCATCACTGGTGCACTATTAGAACACAAAGGCCTAGTGTGACGGTGTTTGGCCTAGTTATTCAGCAAACCTACCAACCCTGGACAATAGATGCTCATGTGACATAATTGGATGTTTATGGCCTTGATGGGTTGAACTTCCTTCAGGCATTTTCAGTTGGCTTCTAGCCTCTTTTGGTATGCTTTGCAGTTTGAATTCCAATTTGAATACTGATGGTACAGCATTTTTTTTTGCCTGCACGACCCTGTTGAGGATGGTGTAGTCAGGGGTGGATGTATAGTAGTCCGTGTGTTGTGACCCGATATCGTTCACTTTCATTAAGCATGTCTTAGAACTGAAATATTTTTACGGGAACTAACACTTTCGAACACGCTGAGTTCAAATCCGAAAAGTTCCCACTCCGTAGACCCGCAGTTTTTTCACAAAATGCTATTTTATCTTCACTAATTTTACAGCAAATTTTTTCATTGTTCAACGATACGGATCGATGATGATACAAGATTATGTCACTCAAAAGGACCAATTTCAATTAACAATTCGTCCTTTTAACAAAAGATCGGTTTTGCTCGAATCATTTTGAGTTATGCAATCTTATGCGTGTTGGACGTAAACAACATATCTTGTCTACAACTTTGAGAAGGTAGAGATAACGCTTTCAAAAACCCTCAGTTCTAGAGATATCTCTATAAAATCACAAGGACATTAATGTCAAGTCTTTTAGCTACGTCACTGGCCAGAAAGGTAACTAATTTAACGCGATCAAGATATTTAAAACAAAAGTAACGCAAAGCCAATGTAACGGCAAAGACAACGTTAAAACGAAATATTGTCGAATGCTTGCAGGTAGAAGACTTACGACAGGATCAATCTTAAATAACCTTAAGCTATAGGAATAAATGTTCACATCAAAGACAAAGATCAGTCACAAAGTATAAAATATGCTCTGTAAACTTACCGCGAAGTGGAGAAATGTGTGCATGAGCTGTTTATTCGATGATTTCGACGAATATAGAAGCCCTCTTTCCAATAATACTCGCTTATCGCACAGTATAACACCAACTGATATAATAGTTCAAATGCAATGATAAGTTATCTCTTGAATTACGTCTTGAAAACCGTGTTGGAAATTTCCATGCTGATCCATTACATATAGATTCCCGTTTTATATCTTTGTATAAAACATTTTGATCCCATGTAAGGAATTATTTCTCGGCCCAGAGACATAGCCCAAAGACTTGACATTAACGTCCTTTTGATTTTATAGAGATAGTTCCAGAACTAAGAATATTATAAAGAATTATCTGTACCTTCTCAAAGTTGTAGACAAGATATGTTGTTTACGTCCAACACGCATAAGATTACATAACTCAAAATGATTCGAGCAAAACCGGTCTTTTGTTAAAGGAAGAATGGTTAATAAAATTGGTCCTTTTGAGTGACATAATAGTGTATCGTCATCGATCCGTGACGTTGAACAATGAAAAAATTTGCTGTGAAATTAGTGAAGATAAAATAGCATTTTGTGAAAAAACTGCGGGTCTAGGGAGTGGGAACTTTTCGGATTTGAACTCAGCGTGTTCAAAAGTGTTAGTTCCCGTAAAAGTATTTCAGTTCTAAGAGAAGCTTAATGAAAATTGTTTTCTAGGCACTTTTCGAGGTCACAACACACGGACTATAGGGGGGTGCACAAGGGTGTGACCCCTGTTGACCTTGACTTGGGTGCAAAAAAATCAAATTTGTACCCATTGTCATGAATATGTACCCATTGTCATAGTGGTGTTTACTATTGAAATGTAAATAAATTGAATATTAATAAATATTTTAAAGTTTCAATTGTTTTGTAATTTCTTACCTGTGGAATGCAGTATATGTTTTGCTTTCATTTTCCTGACGCAAGTTTTGTTTTCATAAACGACACAAGTAACTGGCATTTATTATTCCAGTCAATAACAAACTAATTTTGCAGTTTAAACTTTTTTTCCAACTTTGTTTATTACAAAAATGTTAAAAAATAACAAATTACTTGCGCTCTGCCAGCCAGATATGGACTGGGGCGATATGAAAAACACTCATTTTCCCCCGAAGATTTTTTACATGTTTAATCTGATTTTACCTTTAAAACAATAAGTTTCTGGATGCTCGGAAATGAATTTCTAACAGTATCTAAGCTTTTCTCAAATAACTGACGCCAAAATGTCTCCGAACCCTTTCTGGAAAGTCTACTAACACAGAAAAACTAAAAATTTTCGCGCGGTTTTCTCGTGTTGTTCGTCTTGTACGTGTGATATTTCTGTTGTTTGGTAAGCATTTTTTATTTTAAGCACATTTATTTAAAGTTCTTTTGTCTTAGTTTAATATAAGGAGGAGTTGGCAAGTGCTTAACAAAAAAAAGGGCAAAATTTATCGATTTTCAAAAAAATTTTTTGACGCCATTTTGTAAAAAAGGACTGGGGCAACCTGCAAACTCATCACTCATGAGTGGCTTCAAAGATGGCGGCGGAGTTATCGTTCCAGGTTATTTACAGTTCACTGGCCTGCACTGAATCCATGCGTTTTATAGATTCATCCCTTATAATAAACAAAGACTGACAACTCTCAAATTGACGCAGGGCGTGAAATGTACAACGACGAAATGTATCAAAAACAAGTGTGTAAACTCCAAAGATCGATAACATTTTTATATTTATCAACGTTTCGACTATATTTCAATCATCATCAGGATAAAGAAATGTATATTACAATATTACGAAGCATTAGCAAGCCGCACAATATATTAAATATAGGCTGCAGATAATACATTACGAGTTAATCAATACACATACAAATTAAAAGTCGAATAAAATACTACCATTCAATGCAATAATACTTGTACTACTTGTGATTGAAAGAACAATGTTCTGAATATTTGAAGCTATTAAAATGCAGTCAGATAAATTGGGATTTGGAATACGTCTAAATGAGCATGTATTTAAATTTTTCAAAATCAAGAGCGTGCCATTTTAGTGGAAGCCGTATCGTATGTCAAATGAGAAAGTGAATGCAATATCGTTTTTTGCTGCCGTAGGCAGCACACTATTCTTGACAACTGATTTTGACGTCATGACTCGTGCCAGTTTCCTTGACCGAGTTATAACGACGCAGCTTGAATCAAAATATAGAAGAAATTTGGATTTCTGTCAGTCGGTAATTGCTCGTAAGTCGCCGTAAAGCTCTCGCTCTTTACTTTCCGCCATGATGAAAAATATAAAAAACGATAATTTCTTCACAAATAAATGACAATAATTTCGTTAGAAAATTTTTTTTGCAGGTACGTTTTAGCCAATTATTAATCACGGTGTTGCCAATGTTTACTTACTGTATTAGTAATAAGTTTATATTGACCGTTTAAATATCATGACGAATGATGCAGGCATGTTCAATGTTGGCAAATGTTGTTATGATTTACGAAGAAAAACGTGAAAATGATTGAAGACTTGACATTAAGGCTCTGGTCACACGCACAGGGTATATCACTATTAACTCAACGACGAAGGAAAACATCGAAATGACGTATAGTGTTGTATTGTGTCGTATAGTCTTATATAACGTTGTATAGTCTTATTTTATAGTCTTGTATAGTCTTGTATAATAGTCGTCTACAGTGTTGTATAGTCTTGCATATTGTCATATAGTCTTGTATAACGTTGTATAGTGTCGTATAGCCTTATATATTGTTGTATAATCTTATATAACGTTGTATAGTGTCGTATGGTGCTGTATAGCCTTATGCAGTATTGTATAGTCTTGTATACTGTTGTATAATGTTGCATAGTGTCATTTAGTGTCATATAGCATTATATAGTGTTGTATAAGTCTTGTATATAACATTGTATAGTGTTGTATAACTTTATATATTGTTATATAGTCTTGTATAACGTTGTATATAGCCTTAAATAGTGCTATATAGTTTTGTATAACGTTGTATAGTGTTGTATAACGTTATATAGTGTTGTATAGTGTCGTATAGCCTTATATAGATTATAGTGTTGTATTTTGTCCTATAGTGTTGTATAATCTTATATATATAATGTCATATAGTCTTGTATAATTAACATTGTGTAGTATCGTATAGCCTTATATAGTGTCATATAATTAACATTGTATAGTATCGTATAGCCTTATATTGTGTTGCATAGTGTTGCATAACGTTGTGTAGTGTTGTATAGTCTTCTTTAGTGTAGTATAGTGTCATGTATAATCTTGTATAGTGTCATAATTTTTATAGTTTTGTATATCGTTGTATATTGTTGTAAGGCCTACTCTGGGGCAGTAAATCGCCTTAAATCGCCCTAAATCGCTTAAAACGCATTAAATCGCGGGTTAAAATTGTCGAATTTCTCTTAAATCGCCTAATTAAAATCGCCTAAGATCGCTTAAAATCGCCAACATGCATTCTGCTTGATACATTCAGTCCATGTACTCAAGCTTGTCAATTGCTGCTATTTTACGGGCAAATCATGTAATCCAGGTGCTTTGCAATCAACAGTAATGCAACATGAATTAGCAATCAAATAAGTGGATTAGGCTGACAATATTTAGTCACCCAATAGGCACCGGCCATTGACAAAAACAGAGCCTTTTTCTGCTTTATGCAGACTTTACAATAATTAGGTAATTCTGGGATCTAAAAGACCCATAGATCCCATACACTATCAGCAACAAAATTGAGCTAGTTACCAGAATGAGCTAATTTCATTATTAATCTATAATCTACATTATTTAATTAATCTATAATCTACATGGCTTCTCAAAGCCTTTTTGCTGTTAATTAGAACAACAGTAGGAGACTACGAAAGTCAATGAGTACGAATGTTGATTTATATAATAAAGTCATCGTGTAATTTGTGCACTGTTGCATGTAAGATCGAGCACTGCATTGTATAGAATGGTTGTACTTCAATCGACATGTGCGTGGTTATACTCTAGCTCCTAGTTATAAATTATATAGTGGCTATCAAACGAAAAATATACGTGAGCTAGGTTATGAGCGATTTGCAACTCTCGTCTATTAAATTTTCCAGACGTGTAATACAATAAACAGTAAAACAATGATTGCATCTTACATACCATACAATAGATCTTTTGTTGTTGCTTGTTTGCAGAACCTAAAACCACGATGTAGTGCGCCATTAATTTGTTTTATAACACTGTATTATTTTTTTTTAATTTTAACTGGTAATTTAGAATTCCTACCATTTATATACGATATACTTCATGTAATTTAAACATTACGGCATTACGCCGACAGTTTCCGAATGCTTTATAAATATGTTTGTAGCATGAAGAAAGCACGAGATTGAAACAGTTTAATAAAATAAAATGCAAGCTAAATAAAGAAGTTTTGACAGGATACAAAACAAGACAATTTTACTTACAAGGGTGACAAGGTAATTTATAGGATTATAGCTTATTTTGGAAATCAAATATTTATTATATTTTGCAATTTTAACTCGACATAAATTAATAATATTAAAGTTTAAGACATGTGTAGTGCATGGCCC